AAAACACGGTTTGTATGAATTGTCGTCCAATTTGTTTAGTAAATGGGTTTGAAGCCGGGATTCGCACTACGTGTGGTATGCTATGAAGGCACGTAGCTCGCGAGTACCGCGTGACGTCTTAACCCTATTCTATTTTTCCTCTTCTAAATTTCTCGCTAAATTTGGCATATTTCACAAGCATGCTTGAAATCACATCCTTATTTATCGAATTTCAAAGAATATTTTTTTTTCTGATATTTTCTAATTATTCATATTACAATGGATATGGTTTAAAAGAGTATACAACGAAATATATGTATAAATATTTGAGTTAATAATAAATATTCCAAAGCTTGTAATTATTTTGTAGGAAATATGAATAAGATACATATCTATATTAAAATAAATATTGATCAAAGAACAATGTATAATTCTTAACTTAACTTTCTGAATGCTGCTGAAGCGAAATCGTGATTTTCTGAGTATGAATTGAAATATTATTCTTTGATAATGCTAGCCTGCACAGTCCACACCTGTTATTATTTTGAAATTTGTGTTTGGAACTTAATTTTGGTTAAGATTTAAATAATGAAAGATAGTGTCAAGAGATACGGATCAAAGGGGCATATTATTGTAAAGACCAATGTAAGATTCGGTGAGATTGGATGTTACAATATGGATACAATTATAATGTTACACGTTATTTGGTTAAAGTTGGCCATAAAATAGGTAGGGTAATGAAATATATTCCCAAATCATTAGCACTAAGTATGAGGGTCGGGGGTCAAGTTGCACCTTGTGACACACGTGATATTTGTGGCCAATGTACAGAATTTCAATATTGAATAAAAGGATGAAATAAGAGGAATGACGTGTGCTGGTATATTTCTTTCAGATTATGAAATCCTTTGATCTTCCCGCTTTCCTTTTTTTTCCTAGACATCGGGTCTCTTTAACCCTTTTTGGTACATTCTGCTCCAGTTGAATACATTATGTTAAAATAAGGGTATCGAGTTGTTACTATCTTAAATTTACGGTCTGAAGTAATTGAAATATTGAGAACTTTTTGTTCTAGTCAATTTCGTATGCAAAACAAATAGATCTGAAGGTTGAAAACAAATTCCAATATATAATACATGTAAGTCGACATGATCACCAATTCCAGAATGACATCATGTGTTCCGGAAGGTTAAACACAAGCAGGGGTAATAAAGGAGAAAAGAAAACCACCTTGTAAGTGAAAAGGAATTTTCACGCCTCAAGACCAGGTTCATATTTTATTCAAAAATAAGCAACGATTGTTGGTTGTCGTTGTACTTCTGGTCAATAAGGGGAGGTAGCCCCCTAGGGTTTTTTCAAGTTCAACTCAATTGTAATAATTGTTACCAGTGGAGCGACAAATGATGTTTCAGACAATTTGTGGTCGTTTCGTATCAGTGGGTTTCTGTTCAAATTTTCACTGTTTGGGCTAATATGTTGTGCTCACTGTTTTGCTTTGAATAGAATTTTGGTGGTAAATACCAATATAAATGATTTGTGCGTAGGTAAAAATGTTCTGTTAACTTTACTGAGTTAGAGTGAGAATGTAATGTGATGGTATTGTTTACAAAATTTGAACTTGCTTCTTTTAGGTTTGAATTCTAAATGCAAAATATGACAAAGTATGCTTTCCGTATGTTATATCTTTTTTTTAAACTTATGTTGTGAGTTCGCGGCCATTTACACCAAATATTGTAAATGATAGTTAAAAATACAGAATAAATTTAATTCAGAGAAAACTAGGAGTAATTCCTACATTACATAATATGATAAAATCAAATACACACAAATTAACCCTTATTTCAGCAACTGATTGATCTTTGTAATTAAATCAAGTTCAATTTCAGAAACGTGTCTCGCTTCTCACCATTATCGACAACATACATTAACCCCCTGGAGGCCACTAGTTTTAATTTCACAGTTAAGTCCATAAACTAGCAAGTTTTTGTTTACATTGTTTACTAATTACATGTGTAAACAAATACTACATACCTGTCTACACCAGTCTTCATCATTTGTCGCTTCTTTGATCTCCTTAATTACCGCATCCTATTGTTTTGTTGTTGAAAAGTAAAGCCTGTTTGGAGTCTGAAGATGAGGGAATATTGACATTAAATATTTTATAGTTTGGACTTAACGTTAACAATAGTTGCTTCTTTCACTAAATGGGATTTTTAAATCTCCATCTCACTGTAACTCTAACTAATTGGCTGCTGGACAGTAAATGTTTTAATGTGCACATTTTTCTGTAAGACAGACATTTTGTTTCCTTTATTTTTCTTGGAATGCTTTCTATTTGAACTTAACTGACTGACTAATATGTGTTTCTAAATTTTTCAAAATTTCATTTCTTATTAAATGCTTCTGTAATTGCGATTCGATCTCTTAAGATCTTATTTCTTCTTATTTAAGAAGTAAAAAATAATCATGTATGCTTCCTTCTTTGGAATTTTGAACAAGCCGAATTTTGCAGAGTCATCTAAATTTGCCATTCTGGGTGCCTTTGTAATTGTACATGTTTTCGTTAAAAATCAATTAAACGAGATACTAAATATTATAAAATCCTTTAAAATCAAATAAATCAAATCAATGTAAACAGAGATCGTTTTGTGTGGACTTGAACTACGCTCTTCAACAAGGAGGTTACCTAACACTTTATGACCCTCCTTACATTAAAGAGTTGTTGTTCAGAGAGTTAATTCACCGTTAAGCCTTAATGGGAATCTATTGTCTTGGGTCTATGGTGTGGATGTCGTTTTGGTGTAAGAAGTTGGGTCTGATAACAGTAGGATAAGATCTGAATCAATTTATTCGTTACATTGAACTATCTACAGATCATCCTAGAATACATTTGTTATTTCATATCTCCGAGTTTTTTCTTCCAAAGAACGTCTGGCACTTTTATGTCTTTATCTCTGAAAGCGTTCCTTGGGGTTGTTATTACTAAGGTATCGATTTTAATTGGCAATCATTGTTCTGAATTTCGAATTAATATCCAGGGTACATTTTCTTTAATGAAAATATATACGTAGATTATTTATCGTCGGGCCTGTGTAAAATTTTATTCTATTCTTTTTTTTGGATTACGAATATGCAAGTCAATATTTGTTAGTAAAATCATGTCATATACGATTCTACTTATCAGATATTTTGTTACAAATATAGAAAATTACCTTTACTCTTTGTTATTTAATATGTGGAGAAATCGAATCCGTCAAGATAATTGCTTTTTAACGCATAGCTTAAAGATATGTTATTTTAAAGGTTGTAAATTTTAAACGAGGTCGTTGAGTAAGATGTGCAACATTAGCCAATGTCAATTTTCACCGCTCATAAACTTCATTCCGTATTGTATAATGCTTTCTGGCATCTTCATTTCCGGTATGCCCTTAGGTTATGCAATTTATAAATCATACAAGGTTTTGGTGGCTAGCTCAATTGAGCTATGCTTTTTGGAAGAATGTTCGTAATTTAAAGAGTTCAACATAAAGCTACAGAAAAATATGATCATAAATAAAAAATATATTATGCAATTTGCTCTTTATATTAAATTCAAAGCATGACAAATTTTTAAACTCGTCTTTTCAAAATACACTTTACTTTTCTTTTCTTTTTGACGACTTTTATATATAAACTTTTATATAAACATTTCATTGAAATGCACTTAAAACTTTCAGAAAGGCAAAATGTTGTCATACAAATTGTTTGAATGGGTCTATTTTGTCCTCTTAACACGACTTACTTGGTTGAAACTTCTTAAGTTCAACACGCCTGAAGTGCTATTTCTCCCCAATAATAACGGAATTGAAAAGCCTTCTAAATCAAACATTTTATACTAAATGAAACATAAATATTTATTTTTGTTCAAAGATTAAAATTCAGTTATTGAAAAGGACTTGATAAACAAGTATTTATAATTCGTTGGTGAATATTCTAATGAATCGAATTCTACGATCTTAAGATTCATATATAAGTGTGAATAATCTTGAAGTACTGAAGAACACAGGACACTTCCGTGCCACTTGTACCCGGATTAATAATATGATATTCGTCTACAGTTTCTCTAACAAAGGGTATTGTCATGGGGTTACAGGCGTTACCCAATGTTCATCTGCACAAATTCTCAAATCATATAGAATTAAGTTTAATGTTCTTGTTTATATTTTCAGGATCCACAGTCGTATGGAGGTACACCATTAGCAATGTTAGCTGCCCAATGTAGCAAAATCAACAACCGAACTCCGCCTCCATTAGCAGAAGCTACCGTGGGAAAAGGCTTCATGCCATGGAAAAAGCCGGGATGTGGCGCCACGAGTCCTATACATTTATCTGCCCAAAGGATGACGGGATTTAATACGTCGTTAACCACAAGCAGTCTGACATATCCACGATCAGCACCGAACACGACATCACCTACGTCATATAATAACGACTTATTTTATCCACCCGTGGGAACTAACTCTTACACTCAATGTGATATCTCTCAAGCAGCTTTTCTGCAGAAAATGGGTGAAACTGGTTTAAATAACACCGGACTCGGTAGTATGTACTCAAGAGTGCCTTCAAACCATCCTTACGAATCGTGGCCCTTCACTGGAATAGCATCTACACAAGCTGCAACGTCTCATGGCATAAAAACGGAAATGACCAATGGAGTCAACAGTGGTGCATCTTGGTGGGATTCTCATAGTTCAACATCTATTCACAATTCATCGGGTAATTGGTTGTCTGATATGCAAGGATCAACGAACACAGGACTTCAATCACAGATATCGGCGAACTACCCGCCCTCGGACTATGTTTTAAACCACTCTCTTAGTTCTAATGCCAGTTCCCTCCTGCCTTCAGCAGCCAGTCAACATTTATTACAAGACACTTATAAGTCAATGTTACCATCACAAGGTGATTTAGGAGCAGCGTCTGCAATGACTTCATTTCTATCTCGACCAGGTTTAACGAGTTTAGCTAGTCCACGATCACAAAGACGCTATACAGGACGTGCAACATGCGATTGTCCAAACTGTCACGAAGCGGACCGACTTGGACCAGCTGGTGATCATCTGAGAAAACGAAACGTCCATAGCTGTCATATACCAGGTTGCGGAAAAGTGTACAACAAAACGTCACATTTGAAAGCACATTTACGCTGGCATACGGGTGAGCGTCCGTTTGTCTGTAATTGGTTGTTTTGTGGTAAGCGTTTTACGCGATCCGATGAGCTTCAACGCCATTTAAGAACACACACTGGAGAAAAACGGTTTGCGTGTCCTGTTTGTAACAAACGGTTTATGAGAAGTGATCATCTAGCGAAACATGTAAAAACTCACAACACCAATAAAAATAAGAATGAAAACAATAGTGATAATGAGAATACGAACAATAGTACAGGATCACCAGCCAACTCCGTCTCTCCTAATACTACTTTATCTCCTACAGACAAAAAATTACATTAAAAACCATCCTGTAGCTTTAACTTAATCAGAGTAATTTAATTGTCTGAAACCAAAATTCGAGGTTATTTTGGAGTTTATATATTGTCTTTATACAAAATAGTTTCACTTTTATAAAAGTGCTCAATACATCAATAATAGAGTGATCGTCTGTATATCGTAGAAGTCATTTGATATTGCTTTCCAATTATTTAGAATTTTCAGGCGACATGACATCATATTATGTTTTGCCCGTTACAATCGTTATCATTATAACTGACATATTAGAACTATTTCGCTGCAATTACAAATGGTAAAAGTTTGAATTGAATATTTACACAACATGATGGACTAGTTGAATAAATTATTCAATTGAAAAATATATAATTGTGATAAATGAATAAGTTTTATCCGGTGAGGTCTTTATTTGTAAATGGCACTCCACTTGAATTATGTTATTAATCGGCCCACGAAAAAGCAAGTTTCGATTTCGTCATAACAAGTATAATCATGTATTTTGATCATTGAAATTAATGTGCCCTTCATGAAGTCCGTACACGGAATGATTGAAACTATATCTATCTATGTTTGTTTCTTCGGACACTTGTAGGTGCAAATATTCGATATTTGCTGGTTATGAATGATATAGCCGACCTCATAAATATCATCAAAATTAAACAAAGAATATCCTATTTAGGTTTTCAAACTATTTTTAAGATCTTTTTCAATAAACTGAAATCCCTAAATCGGGTAAGAAGAGATCAAAACAAAGAAATAATTTTGTATAACATTTGGCATAAACTTAACTTAGAAGCGACTTGTTGATTTTCCTTAATATGTAAAACAGTGTAGCATCACGGCCATGGCGACATAATAATATGCTATTCAAATACTTAATTCTGTAGATTTGGCAATGACAATAGATAAAGATTATTAATTTATTATGAGAAATTAAGTAATTACATTTGTAATATTTTGTATATGTGGAGTGTAAATAAATCTATAATTAATTATGATTGCATATATTTTGTATATAATTATTCCAGAAAAACAATTAAAATTTAGAAGTTGAAATTTGTCATTTATATAACCTTTTGAAAAAATTGATTGAGCCCCTCCCCCCACTCACCAAAAATATGGCCGACCTCACTGCAACTCTACACCAAATTGCACATCCGGATAATATTATTTGCCACTGAACGTGACTATCAGGAGAATTTTCATAATCCTTTGTATATATCACTCTTTTCTCCCAAGACACATGGTAATCAAATTTAGAATATTAAAGGGGTCGTGAAATTTCTATTATCAAAAACGCCGGAAATTATACTATTATTATATTATTTTTTTTACTTAGATTTCGAACACCTTTCGAAAGGCATATTAACAACCTTAGAAGTTTACGCATACTTTTTAAATAGTGTTGGTGTTAAGAAATTAACAGCAGGAATGTTTTTTTAAGTTAAAACTTTCGAATACGAAAAAGGATAAATTTCTACAGTTTTTGGTCTATTGGTTTCACAAATTTAAGCAAAAAAAAAAAAAATAAAGAGTACAATTACGGCACAAATTTTGAGAAACATGGTGTAGAAATGGAATTGAGGTTTACTATCTATATTGAATCGCAATCGATATTGTGATTTATTAACAGGAAACATTTGATTTTAAACGGTCATTCTCATTCACAAGGATAACACAAAAAATTCACACCATACAATACTTCAGCTAAATAAGCCCCCGCAAAAACTAAAAGTAACACAAACCAAAATTTCAAAATGGGACTGCAACCTATGAGTAAACAAAATTAATATGCAAGATAAAGGCAGGAATAAAATGTCACTTAGCCCAGGACCGTTTTCCTGAACTATATCTATAAACGATATTGAACAACAGATATTCAAGCCCACATATTTCGAAAAGGGAAATGGAACATTCGGATCATTACCGACACTACCTCACTTTTAGTGCTTCTCGTCTTGGTATTTCAGTCTGCAGTACTAACAAATCCAAATAGTGATTTCGTGAACAAATGGATGGTACTTTTTATTTTATTTTTTAAAAGGTTATGGTTCCCTTTTTAACTTAATCTTTTAATGACGAATTCAATTGAAACCGAAGCCAGAAAGTTTATAGATTTGCACTTGAAGATCACACGGAAATTATAAAAGAAACAAGATTGTTAAGGTAACCTTTCTTACGAAACTAAATCAAAGCTATGTCTTTTTACAAAAGTAATAAAATTAGCTACACGTGCACGTGGTAAACTTGGTTAATTTAAAAATCTGATTTTACCTTATTTTATGACTTCTTCGAAAATAAATTTACGATTAATATTTATCGAATGAAAAGGGCGTTTATTTTTGACAAGTTTCTTAAAAGGTAATACAATCGATAGCAAACCTCGGAATTAATAAGAACAAACATAAAATTTGATTTGCAGTCAGAGGTGAAAAAAGGGAGTAAACTGAGGTCCAATAAAATCAGTCGATGGAAGAAAGAATAATTCATCAATCATAAAGGGACAAACTTCAGGTGTTAATCAAACTAGATTTTAATGTTTTATTCTATATCTCATTGAATTCTTGGTTGGTTTTAGTTTTTCCCTCACCTGTTCCTTTTTGTTTTATGATATTTTCATATCTCACACGTGTTTGTGACCGCATTTTTTATGAAAATGGTCAATGTACGAAGTTGAGCAAGCATGTGTTTTATTACCAATATGTCATCATCCTTAAGACTTGAATCTGATCTGAATATGAGTAATTTTATCACATAAATGTGTTTATGTATATATAAATTTTTTATGGAAATATATGTTACGATTATTTTGATGTATGCTGAGATATCTATATAATATAAAGGTATCAGTGAAATCTGTTGAAGTTCATAAAGCAAGGGTTTCTTCATCTGTTAACCTTAATTAAAATTCTATTTTAAGTTCAATAATTGATACATTCGAACACCAAAAGAAGACCTGGGGCCTGGTTTTCTAAAGTATCTTACGACTAAGACACGTCTTAAGATGGTCTTATTACATATCATAGTCGTAAGATAGGTTTTCGAAAGTGTTTTAAGTTACGATAAATCATAACTGTCATCGTAATCTTAAGACACCTCTCGACCTGTCTTAAGATGATCTTATGATTATCATAAAAGTTATGATGGACTTATGATTATCATAAGAGCTTCGATATCACGTGAATAAAAGAATATGGCTGCTGTTTACATGCACATTCGACAACAAGCTGAAAACGTACGCCGAAACAGAGTATTCCGAGGCTTCTTCTCTTACTCATGATTATGTAAAATAAATATAAATGTACTATTTCTATCCTTATATAGTACTTTCTCAAAGTATTTGCACGAGCATTTCGTTAAGCGGTTACATGTACTCGATGTCTCACATCTTAAAAGTATTCACAATTAGATAACAAACACATCAGGTAAGATAATAAATAAACACGGAGTTCGAGAATGTAAAAGTATAATAAATATACAAACTAAATTCAAACAAATGATCAAACTACGATTTTAATTCATTTTCATATAAAATTTAATGTTGAGAATATATTGTGTAAGTAAGAACTATAAATTTTATTTCCTATAATTTTTTTATAGTAAATGTTATCACTTATGATCTGATCATCTCAGATATGACTATCGTAAGACGGCTTTGATTTACATTCTATTACATGTCGTATGATAGTCATAAGATATATCTTATGACGTTTCTTACGATACTTTCGAAAACCAAGCCCAGATTTAAACAAATATTTTCGCTTTTATAAACCTGGTTTTCCCAACAAACATACTCAAACGTTTGAAAAATGTACACATAATTTGTTCAATGTGCATGTACTTTTTTTTAATTTACTCACAATTTTAAGCAATATGCACACACATTTGTGTCAAAATTTTGCTAAATATTCTGGTATTATTGTTAAATATACAATGACATGTCTTCATGTAAAATATACTCATAATATAATATACGCATAATATTTCGTGTATAAATGATTTTATTTAAATGAGTTTGATGGATAATAATTTAGTTTTGTTAAATTCGTTCTTATAGTATGTGTAAATGTTAAATTTTCAAATGTACGTGTGCTCTTTGAAAACAAACAATATAAATGTACCGTTTACATGTGCTTTAATTAAAATACACCTTTAAATGTTTGATTTCACAAATAAATACGGAGGTGTAGATTAATAAAAAAAAATTATAATTTATAGATGTATTTATTTATCACATATCACAGTGATATAACCATAATGTTCAAAATATAAACTGCAATATCGCTCAAAACTAATATATGATATGTATTTATCAAACGAACTATATCTATAAATATGTATCAATTGACAAAATACAAGTGAAGCATATTGATATGGCGTCACGACACTCCCCGAATCTTTTTCACGTTTTATTGCAAACAACTCAAAACACAAGTCATTCGTAATGACATGAACATTTGAAACCGTACAGTCATAATGTTATTGGTCTAACAATATCTATTCATAAATTGCTCTCAATGAACGTTTAAAACTTAAAAAGGTTATTTCACAAATACCAAAATGACCTTTGAAAAAATCGGGTCCGTTTGAACAAAACAAGCGGCTTGAGTCACAAAGATTTTCATGAACCTCATCAAGGACTCAAACGTTTAAAGAATCAATGAATTGGAATAATTTCGTACGAATAGATCACAAGTAAGCTGAATAAGCAGGTCGGTAGGGACATAGTCAACCGTATCAATAATTAAGTCAACCGTTAACAACTTTGACACAAAATGCTTGAACATGTCAAATAAAATCGCTCATAATGTTTTTGATAAAAAATCTTTGATTTATTTGATCTTATCGTGTATTTGACTTGAATACCACTGACTAATGGCACG